ATAATAATAATTTTATATATATTAAAATCAAATTCAGTTTAGGAGAGAAGTTCTTCTTGTTTGAATATTCTATTCTAATATTATTCTTTTCCCTTCTTTAGATTTCTATTCCTTCTTAAATTGAGGGAATCATTATATCATATTTTTTTTTATGGAATGAGATATCCTTTTAATGATTTTTTTATATTTACAATATAAATAAATAAAATTATCGTATTATCTTAATTTATTAAAATATATTGTAATGTGGTATTTGGTTATTCAGTTGAAATTATTAATAATATATTAGTTCAATGAATCTAAGATAGTTAATAATTTTGTAGGATTAATTTATATTTTATACACCTAGGTTTTTATTTAATCAATAAATTAAATAGACATTTCATGTTATTAAGAATAGATATCTGTTGGTTTACTTTTTTTATAACATTTGATTAAGATTTTTAAACATTATCAGAATTCAATTTTTATAATCTAGTTTAGAAATAATAAAAATTAATAATAATCATACATTTTTTGCAAAAGTTTTGTAAAATTTAATCAGGATGGTAATCAGATTAAACAATAGGTGCATTAAATTAAGTCTTATGTGTAATATGATGTATTTTTTAATCGACTTTAGATAGTTATGATTTTGATGATGGATTAATAAATCTTTTTGTATTAGTTTCAAAATCTTATCCAAATATACGAGTACATATTTATATTTGAATTGAGCTCATAAAATTAAGAGTATAATTAAAAAGATGTAGATGAAAATTAATAATTAAATTTTAACTACTTAATTAAATGAAGTAATATGAAGAAGATTACTTGAAATGTTTATAGAAGCGCATAAAAGGAATTAAGTGAGAATGGGTTTTGTACACTTATAGTTATACAAAGGACCATTACAGTTTAATCTGAAAATAAGATATAAAGTAGAAAATTAATAGAGAATAATAGATTAACATCTTAACCTTGCTTATCATCTAAAATAGGTAGTTTTGTGACTGCCACAAGTGATTTCTAATCTCTTATGCAATAAATATATGACCATTAAGTATTAGAATTGAAAACTATAGATATATAAAATTCAAATATTTCTTTCTAGATAAGTTATACTACAATCTTTAGTCAGAAATTATTAATCTTAAATAAAAAATAAAATTAAAGGCAAAGATTTGATGATTAAAAAATTAAACTACTTCATATAATTAATCATTGAAATTATCCTTGCCATCAAATAATGATTTAACAAATAATGATTTAACTAAATGTAGGAAACAAATTTAGATCCTAAAAGAAGAATTGATTGATAAAAATAATTAAATTACATATTTTTCTAAAGTATTTATTTTTAATATATAAATATATAGATTTAAGATGAAATCAAATCTTTAGAACATTTCTATGTTAAAATGTTACAGTATCTTATTATTATTATACTGTCTCAAATATGAAATCGGATTTATTATTTTAAAATAAAGAGTTATTGAAATTTATTTAATCATGTCTAAGGCTTAAGTCAAGATTGCTATATTGAATTTATAAAATGAAGAACTTCCATTTAATCTTTTATTCATATATGTATAGTATGGATTGTTTGAAGGTGAATAATGAATCATTTAAAAAACAGAAGTCCTTGACTAAACTAAAGAAAATAGAAATTTATTATCTAAAATATTGGATGGAATCAAAAAAAGTTTAAAACATATATCCAAATGAAATCAAACTGTCTCTTTTCCATGTATTAGAATATTCAACAAATAAAGTAATTTTTTTCATATATTGTATAAAATACAATAAATTTATGTTATATATGATCATCCTTAAATCGAATCATTATTCTCATTATCAATCTTGTTATTTATTTTGCCTATGTCTCATATAATATTTATTAGTAAGCAAAGTAATTTCTAAAATAGTAATCAACTGATAAAGAATTTGTTAAAAATTCTAAACTAAACTAAATTAATTACTTTTTTTTGTTTTTTTACACTTTCTTTTTTATTTATTTTTTATATTAATAAATTTTTAGTTATTGTAAAAATTATTGTTTACCTTTTCCTTAATCAACCCTTTGCTGCCCTTTAAATAACAATTCAGAGAGAATTGTTGGAGATTTATATTCGGTTACCTTAATAAATAAAGAAAGTTAATTTTATAGAAAATGACTGGATTTCAATCAATAGTGTACTTTATAATTCAAGGCCTGAATACTTAAGTTAGAAATCATAGATTGGGCTCATTTCATGTGAGGTTACTCACAAACAGCTATAAAAATAGAAGAATAAATATTATTAAAAATAAGGAAAAATATTTCCTGATCAAGACCTTGAATATAAAAAATTAATACCCTTATCTAGTAGTCTAATATTTAGAAAATTTATGAAAAACCGTATATAATTTTAAAAGAGATAAGCATAATGTTATTCTAAATAAAATTCCATTTAGATTATTTCAATAAAGATTATTGTAATATTTATTATTCTAAAAACTCTATAATTTAATATTAAGTATTATTTTTATTAATTTAGAGACAACTAAAAAGGTTTTTCATTAATTTAATAATCCAACACTCACTAAAATTAAATAATAATTAAGTTAAATTATTCCCATCGAAACGAAAAATAAAATTTCTCATTACCATATCCATAGATTTTTTATTATTTTGAATTCCAAATCTTTTACAATAATTTATTTCCAAATTAGTTTTTATGCTGAATCAAAACTAAAAGAAATGATAAATAAATAAATTTAAAAATTGATAAGAATTTGATGAAGTTTTTGATATCATTAAAGCTGCTTATCCAAGCAAATCTTTTAAAAAGAAATCCATTACTTTATTTGATATTGAAGATATTTTTGATGGTTATTAAAGTAATCTTATATAAGGATTTCTATTTTCCAATCCCAATTGATTACATATAAGAAGTTGCCTAACATATTTTGAAGTCAATAATTTTTCCTTAGAAAATAATACATAATTAACGGAACCATTTAAATGGATCACTTAGCTGTATTCACTCTTCTTAGTTGGTATTCAAGACATGATACAAATTAAGAGGCAATTTTATCACCAATTTCTAATTTTTAACCAATCATTCCTTTTGCATCCTAATTGGTAATATAATGAAGAATGAAATAGTTATGATAGATAAGAGAAACTCTTAATTATTGATAATTTTTTAAATAATTAAAAAAATCAATTAATCATTTATAGCTCAAATATTTAATATAATTTCAATGATTCAAGGTATATAAACAGTAATCAATTTTATTGAACCAAATCTTTTGAGTATTTATTATCATTGTTA